GAGCTGGATGAACACAGCAGGCCAAGCAGCATCAGAGGAGCCCGAAACGTCAGCCTTCCTGCTCCTCTGAAGCTGCTTGGCCTGCTGTGTTCATCCAGCTCTACACCTTGTTATCTCAAACTATTGCATCAATTGGCTTTTCAAACAACACATGGTCAATTTAGTGATAGTCACAACAACAACAAAAACATAAATTGCTGGAAAAGCTCATCAGGTCTGGCGACATCTGTGGAGAGAAATCAGAGTTAACGTTTCAGGTAAAGTGACTGTTCTGAGTTCTGAGGAAGGGTTACTTGACCCGAAATGTTAACTCTGATTTCTCTCCACAGATGCTGCTAGACCTGCTGAGCTTTTCCAACAAGATCTGTTTTTATTTCTGATTTACAGCATTCGCAGTTCTTTTGGTTTTTATTTAGTGATATTTACAACTCAGTTTGAATACTTAAATATCATGATCATAAACAATATGATGTGTCAAAAGTTCATTTCATGGCGTCAATAATTTATCGAAAGGCATACCAGCTGTTCTTAAAAAATAATTGTACTTTCTGCACTGAACGTATCTATTGTTTGTCTTTAATGTAAATATTAAGAGGATCTAAAGGCTGTAAATGCAATTATAATTGAAACGCTAAGCACAGTACATCTGCTACAACACAGAACTGTAGTATAATTGCACTGTAGGCAATATTTGTTTGATTTGCAAAGAGAAACAATGCCTGAAGTCTGTTTACCCAAGCAAACCGGAACTATGTTCTAGGGTAGTGACCAGTTATTGTGATTTTTTTTTACCAATACAAGACAAGAAAAAACTGTACTGGAAGTATACAGTCACAGTTAAGCATAAGTTACTGTTCTATGTTATGTTTTCTATCTTACTTAAACCCCAGCAAGTTGGGTCAGTACAGAAGCTCCTCCCTTAGTTTTAACAGATCCAAAAAGGTGTGACTTATACGCCACATTTTACAAAAGTAAGGAAAGTCCTGTGTTCAGTATCGATGTGTTCACATGTTGTTGGCATGTTAAATGGACAATATTGATTTCATTTGACTTAAACATTTCATGAATGTAAATATCACTTCATATATGTGACAGTACAACCAGTGATTTACTGAATTTGTTATTGAGACATCAATTCTAATATCAACATTATCGTTTCATCTAACATTATTGTTTCATAAAAGATAAATTGTAACCACACATTATTGATGTGAACAATTGATTGTGCCACATTTCCTTTGCTTTAAGATTTTAATTTAAATTTAAATTTTTGAAGTTCTGTTTACTAATGAACAAAGAAACAGAGCTTTTTGCTTGTGTCCCTCCAGTGCCCAGCACCAGGATCTGCTGTATGATTTCATTACATAGCACATAAACAGTATTAATGTTTGTGAGCTGCTACTGTTTAGGCACTTTTTGTTTGCATGTCTATAACAGCCTAATTTATTCAATAAAAACAATATTTTCAACTCCAAGAGCTTTGTTAGTTCTTTTATGGCAGTATACAATGTGCATTTGTTAAGTAAACTACAGAATTATTTTAATTCCTGGTAAAAGAACTCTCTCCATTTTTTCTAACTACAATTCGAGTACCATTTAACGATTCACTAGTACATGTACTGGATATTACAAAACACCACAGCGTGATAGAAAGATCGCATGATGAAACCCCAAGTAATCCACATCAAGTTAGCAAAGGTAACTTAATTAAGAAATTAAACAGCGTACCATCGAGGATAAGAAGGTAAACCACAAAACAGTGATTTATGGTGCTACTGACTGGTTTTCACTGCACACTAGCAACATAGCTGTAAATCAAAAACACAGACTGATCTAAAATGACTTCTGGAGGAGGTGGGAAGAGAAATTCACACAAAAATGCACGGCAGCCAATTTTGCATCTGAGAAATGTGCAACCAGCTATCAAAAATTTAATGCGTTTCATCTATTTGTATCATGGTGAGAGAGAATTAAGGGCACTTGTGACAAACTGGTAATGTCCCTACCTCTAGGCTAAAAGGTTCAGATTCAAGTCCAACCTGTCCTGGAGGTGTGCCATCATATTTTACCAGAGGGGTCTTGTGGCATTGTGGTAGTGTCTCTATCCCTCAACCAGAAAATCCCCCTTCAAGTTTCACCTGCCCTTGGAGGTGTGTCATACCGTGCGAGTAGGTCAATTAAAATAACTAAACATAATCAGATCTCAGCCCTTAGTGCATGTGCAAAATGTTTCAGGGCTCTCGCAGTGTAGTGGTAGTGTCCCCACCTTTGGGCCAGACTGGCTGAATTCAGGTCCCACCCACTCTGGAGGTGTGTCATTACATGTTTGAACAAGTTGATTAAAAATATTTATCGGGCAGAGAGAGTTCAAGACAGGAGCCACTCTGAATTACTCCACGTGTAGGGATGCACTGCCTGCCAACAGTGCATCTATTCAATCAAAACCATTAGCTACTTAAGTCATAACACATTTAGACTTCCAAAATATTCTCAAATTCGTCAGTTATCATGCAGGAATAAAGAATA